AGGAAATTACCAATTACAAATTTAGAAATTGTCAATTATAATTTGGACTTAACAAATCTGACAATGCAAATCTCTTTGGAATTATAAGCATATATAGTGAAGTCATACCCGGATTATCACAAAATAAAATCATTTTTCGCACTTATTATCAATGAATAAGAATAATGCTAGTGAGATACTCAAAGCTGATAATAAATATTTCTTTTGGATTATAAGAACTATTGGAATCTTGAAGCAAAAGCATGACGAAAGAATCTATTCGTGCATCAAATTTAACTTAAAGAGCATTTGATAAAAAATAAATAAAACAAAAATAAAGTAAAGAACAGCCGCTTAACACGATAATAATTCGAACGAGGATTAAGATGACCTTTCCATATTTCATACTGAGGTCGCCAAAGATGAAACGTAGGGTTAGGTAGAGGAAGAGATATTGGCAACGGCTACGTGAGGAAAGTGAGTTTCCAGTATAGTAATTGTGAATAGTTTGACACAAGGACAAATTGGTCAGAAATCGAGTAATAGCATTGTAAACTCGAAGAGGCTCTTTTTCATCTCCAAGAGAATGATGCAATCAATGTCAATCAATAATAAGAATTAGTGGTTCACTGCGATTTGGTATTTTTTGAATGAAAATTGAAAACTTTGGAGTTTCTTCCAAATTCGTCGAATCCATATCGATTTTAAAATAATGAACATTTTCTATAAAAACAATATTTATTGCTATGTTCACTTAGAATCAACGAAATCATGCAAGCCACTCCAATCCAATCCAATCAGATTGACATAGAATTGCCCTACATGTTGCGACGTGTCTCGGAAAAACATGGTAAACTGAACTTCGCCTAGCGCAATCCAACCGATAGACACTACTATACATTAAAAAAAAAATTTGAGTCCTACACATCCTTGCCAAAGGCACAACTCAACTTATTTGACACCCCTAATTACGTGTGCCGATGCGTACAATGTATCACCCATCCGTATATCTTTATCTAGTTTTGCCATGTCTAAAATTGCCGCACTTTCCTTGCCAACGATGCCAATTCCAAATGAAAGAGATACCAACATTGTTGTCTGGACGGCATATACTTGACCATGTTTCCAAGTTTTGTCCCACCTAGGAATGTAGTAAAAAGACAAGACGGTGAGCGATAGCATGGATTTACACGAAAACTAAACAAACTTTTAAGTGAATAATCATACAAACACTAACCAACAAAATCTTGTTTCGGAATGTTCCAACAAACTCATACGAACTTATTTCAACACAAAGAAACAGAAAGTATACCAACATTGTACAAATTGTTTCATCTGTGGACATTATAAATTGAGTTTGTTCTGTAAGAACACTCTGTCCAAGTCATTTACAAGAACACTCATTTCCAATGGAAGAATTTGTAGGGAGTGGATCTCTGAAAGAACTTCTCCCAAGGCTGATAGAAGAAGGCTGGGACGACGTTCCAGCTCTGAAGATCATCAATTCAGAAGACATGGATGAAATGGGCATGAGTCAGCAACATAAGGTTAGTCATTTTTACATCGTAGTCTTGTTAAGGTTATTTCAAGAACCAAAAATCCAATCAAAGTTCTTCATCATCCGGTGTTGGAAAAAGGATCAAGTTCTATGATTGTCACCGATGTATATGCCAATTTCACTAGTTGATCTCTCTTTTCTACTCAAGGATGCACTTGAAATTAGGTCATACCTGCATGATCGTGCACTGCTGCAGTATGGGGATAAACTCGAGGCGTCAGGGAAATGTCTGCCTGAGCTTCTTAGCTTGAGTGTTGCAGATCTTTCTTCTCAGCTCGAGATGAAGAGAGGACATGTCGCCCGTTTCTTGGACAGAACCAGTGCATGTGCAACGGATCCTCCGCCAGTGTCACATTCCTCGTTAACAACAAGACGAAACACCATGGTCTCTAGTAACAGCATCTACAGGAAGGATCTTTCATCCCTCAACTCTGGAAAACTAAAGAGCATGACGAGAACACCAGGAAGCAACAGATCCTATAATCTTCCCCTCGAGCAATCCATGGCTAGTTTCAAGATCAAAGAGGGACACGTCTTTAAGGGAATTGTAGCAGCAATTCCAGCAGATCCTACAGCTTGTGGTTGTGTACAACCTCCCCCAATACTTAAAATTTTAGCTCCTTATTCCACTATTGAGAATATCTCTGTCCAGAAACTAACTCCGGAATATAAGATAGGAATGGAGCAATTGGTCAAAACGAAGACACCTCCCATGAAATCTTCGGAGTTATGGCGTGAAAAACCAGCTATTTTCCTCTGCATACGTAGACCCGGGTATGGTCATATGAATACACTTCTATTAGTTCATGCTAGGAAAATGCTAAAATTTCTGAGCACTTCTGTGTTCGTAGTAGCAAACTGAATGTGTCCGAACTGACCAAAGTCAAGAGAATTCTACACTACAATATTTGCATAAAATATAGTGGCCACTTTGATCAAATTATTAAACAACTGCATACACTATATTAGAAGATGCATTTCCTTCCACTGAAAGAATTGGAAATGCTAAGAGGATGACCAGATTCATCCATATTTTTCATAAACAGGTGCATCATGTGCAGAGCTGAAGCCCACCAACTATATTCCAAGAAATCCATATTTGATGCGCTCGGCATCCAATTATATGCCGTTCTTCATGAGCAAATAGAAACGGAGGTACGATTTTCTTTCTTTATTACATGATCATCTTAGGCAATTACGCTTATGGATGTTCACGTATATGCTTTGACGGTTCCAGGTAAAAGACTTCTGGCCTCGATACTGGGGTGGCGTTGTACTCTTTGACAGGAGCAAGGAGTTTTTCAAAGCCCTTGGTGGAGGAAAGCTGCTTAAAGGTAAGTTCATATCTGGTTTCCTATTCAACCCACGAGCAATTGCAAATTACAAGCGAGCGAAGACTATTGCAGTGGACCAGAATTTTAAGGGTGAGGGAGAGATAAAAGGTGGACTTTTCATAGTTGGTAGAGGAAAGAGTGGCATTGCTTACCAGTTCATCGAAAGAAACTTTGGTGACTGGGCACCACTAGATGAAGTAATAGAAATCTGTACTCGACTCCAGGTAGTTAAACTTATTTCTAGCCTTTTCTAATGCCTTGCTGCAACTTCTTTCCTACACAGAATTCACTGAAATAAGCTCCATTTCACTCTCTCGCAGAACAACGAACATCAGTCGATTGGAGTCAACAAAATCATATAATGCAATATTGGAGAAGAGGAGAGTAATTTGGCTTCTATTTACATACCCGTCATCCGTTTGACTTTCAAATTCGAGCACTTTGCAACTAGAGTAAGCATATCACAAATCTGGGAATTCTTTTGTAGTACAATCTTCTGCTAGTGGATGTGAATTCATTTGTTGTAGCAAAAGGATGTTTGATTTGTTTGTTACATTGATTCAGACTGTTGGGGAAGAATTGAATATAAAAGTTTGCTGGTAAACCATTTCTCTATGGCATGCAACCACCTCAAAATCCTAAATTGGAAGAACGAAAGAGGCAAGTTAAATATCATTGATGCAATCACTCAAGTTTAACGACTAAAACTGAGTATGAAATCCTTCTAATTATTGCAGCTCGGCTGAATAGATCATTTGCGTGACTTAGTGGCACAATTGTATGCTTTTCCCCCTTTCCTGAAGTACTCTAGCCCAACTGCAAGCTGAAAGAACTTCGGAATACAATCAAGTTAAATTACAGACCTTTACTGTGTAACAATACTAGTAATTGGAAAAGGAAAATCTCCACGTACAGTTTCTGCCTTAGCCAATTACAGGGGGATGACCCTGTAAAAAATATCATGTACCTATAGTGCTTCTCATCGAAAACTGCCCATGCCAGAAGACATGATTCTTTCTTCTTAAATTGAACTAGGGTATAGCTAATAACCGAATCAAACAAGTGCCAATAGAAACATGAGGCGCCCAGCATAACACTGTATATATGCAACCATGCTACGTTGCTAGAAAAGTTTGACCCCCAGCATAACACTGTATATATGCAACCATGCTACATTGCTAGAAAAGTTTGACATCTTCCTTGACAAAATTACGTGACATTGTATCATTAGACTGTCTTAAAAACAATCAACTTTTACATCCAATTATTTCCTGTCGCCAATACATCTGTCAACTAGGATGTCAATATTTTCATGTAATCTAGCCTAATTCATTGCCTCGTTGTGTACGATAAAAACTCAAAAATATTTAATGTGACTAAAATTTTGTAAAAATTGTCATCGCAACCCTGCTATCCTAGCTCAACCCTGGTGACTGTATAGTTGGAAGCGGCAACTATGGTGTCCAGTTGGGCTTGGTTAAAATTTGGATTTTGGTTGGGTATAGTGGTTTGTGTTGGGTTATGGTTAATGAAATGGTTTAAAGTTTATTACGAGGTCTTGGATTAAAATATCTTAATTTATCATACTATTTATTTTTTATATATATTTTTAAATATGATTGAAATCGAAAAACATAAAATAGTACAAAAAACTAGGGTACGTTTGGTTCAAGTTTTTTTCAATTTTGCAAAACATTGAAAACATGTTTGATTTGGTATTTCTAAAAATACACTTTCAAAAATAAAGATAAATTTATAACATAAAACTCAAAACAAGTTTTTCGACGATTATAGTGTTTTCAGTGAAAATTCTAAAAATACTGAAAATATGGAAAACAAGTGTTTAAATAATTTTTTAAAAAATTTAAAATTTAAAATAAAAAATAAAATTCTAACAAATAAAAATTTTAAATTTTTAAAAAAATATAAATCAAAAAAATTCTAAAATAAAATTGATAAATTCTAAAAAATATAATTAAAATTTTGAAAAAATAAAATCTGACAGTTAAAAAAAATGTAAAAGATAATATTGTAAAAATTTCTAAAAAAAAAATAAAGAATTATAAAACATAAAAATAGTTCAAACTCTTAATAATTATTTATATAAAAATTCTAAAAAAATTAAATGAACATAGATGAAAATATTTTTATTCCGTGTCGTTAATTTTTATTTTTATTTGCTATATTCTTTAACTCAATTTATTATTTACTTTTATAATGAGAAAAACATATTGTAAGATTCACCAACTTTACATATATTTACAGAATATTCTACTTTCATGAAATAAAATGTTGTAAAATAAATTTTTAGAATTTTCAAACCAAGCGTGTTTTCTAGTTTTCTATTTTGAGAAATGGTTTTTCAAAATGATAAAACAAATGCATTTTTAACAATCTAAAAACAAACTCTCAAAACAGAAAACAGAAAATGAACTGAAAACTCAAAATTGAAACACAAATCAAATGTGCTCTGAAACATTCGGAGCCTATTTTGGATATACCATATTTTTCGTTCGTGCCTTGTTTACCTAAAAGGGTGGAGATTCCCCGATATGGGTTGAGAAATTGGCACGTGATGCCCATACCTAATATGCGTCTTCACAGCTCCAAGTCAAGCACGAGAAGATAAATATTGCCTAAGAGTCGAAAACGGCTATGGGAAGTAAATTATCATCCTTAGAAATGAGATGAAGTGTGGTCGATTGTCCATCTTCTCTCGCTTGACCTACCCCCAAGGGGAGAGCAAGAGAGAGCCCCCCTCTGGCTTGATCAAGGTGGTCGAGCATAGGAGGAAAAAGAGAGGGGGATCCTACGTTCGATCGACACAATCAAGGAAAGAGGGAAAAAGGAGGATCCACTCCCTCTCGTGAGAGAGTTACTCGGTGAAGTCGATCGAGAGAGGGATCCTTTCTCCCTTTCTTCTTTAATCGGGTGGTTGGGAGAGAAGGGGGTGTCAGAGAGAGGGAACGAGTCTCCCTAGTCGCTCCTTGTTTGAGTAGTAGGGTCTAAGGGACCGAATGTTCAACTAAACGCCACTCGGTTGAGCTAGGTTGTAACATTTGTCCATTAAGGATGTGACCATTGTTATTACAAAAATGCTGCACCTGCATGGCCACGTCCATCCAAAGGCGACATCATTCCTATATTGTAAAAATTTCTAAAAAAAATAAAGAATTATAAAACATAAAAATAGTTCAAACTCTTAATAATTATTTATATAAAAATTCTAAAAAAATTAAATGAACATAGATGAAAATATTTTTATTCCGTGTCGTTAATTTTTATTTTTATTTTCTATATTCTTTAACTCAATTTATTATTTACTTTTATAATGAGAAAAACATATTGTAAGATTCACCAACTTTACATATATTTACAGAATAATCTACTTTCATGAAATAAAATGTTGTAAAATAAATTTTTAGAATTTTCAAACCAAGCATGTTTTCTAATTTTCTATTTTGAGAAATGGTTTTTCAAAATGATAAACCAAATGCATTTCTAACAATCTTAAAACAAAATCTCAAAACAGAAAACAGAAAATGAACTCAAAACTCAAAATTGAAACATAAATCAAATGTTCTCTGAAACATTCGGAGCTTATTTTGGATATACGATATTTTTCGTTCGTGCCTTGTTTACCTAAAAGGGTGGAGATTCCCCGATATGGGTTGAGAAATTGGCACGTGATGCCCATACCTAATATTTGTCTTCACAGCTCCAAGTCAAGCACGAGAAGATAAATATTGCCTAGGAGTCGAAAACGGCTATGGGAAGTAAATTATCATCCTTAGAAATGAGATCAAGGGTATGTCTGGTAGAGCTAAAATTTGGGATGAAAATTGCTTTTTTGACCATTGAGTGCTTCAACGGTACAATTATCACTTTCTTGGCCTGCAAGCTTGTGAGACAAAGTAAAAAAAAAAAAGGGCTCCAAAATTGATTTTCTCATGTTGAAAATGAATGCCAGACAGGCTCCAAGTGTGGTCGATTGTCCATCTTCTCTCGCTTGACCCACCCCCAAGGGGAGAGCAAGAGAGAGCCCCCCTCTGGCTTGATCAAGGTGGTCGAGCATAGGAGGAAAAAGAGAGGGGGATCCTACGTTCGATCAACACAATCAAGGAAAGAGGGAAAAAGGAGGATCCACTCCCTCTCGTGAGAGAGTTACTCGGTGAAGTCGATCGAGAGAGGGATCCTTTCTCCCTTTCTTCTTTAATCCGGTGGTTGGGAGAGAAGGGGGTGTCGGAGAGAGGGAACGAGTCTCCCTAGTCGCTCCTTGTTTGAGTAGTAGGGTCTAAGGGACCGAATGTTCAACTAAACGCCACTCGGTTGAGCTAGGTTGTAACATTTGTCCATTAAGGACGTGACCATTGTTATTACAAAAATGCTGCACCTGCATGGCCATCAGGTAGGTTTCCGCTGTAGTAAGGCCTGGCACGTACAAGGCCAATGTGACCCTGTACGTGTGGCATCGTTCTTGTTATTATCTATGGGTCCATCATTTAAAGCCAATACATAAATCCCTATCATGGAATGTGAATGAAAACGAGATTCAAATACCTCTTTTTCTTCAAGAGTTTTAAGCCTTTTTAAAGTTCTAATAAATTTTAATTTAAAACCAAAACCCAATTCTACTTTAAAGTGAAAAAAACATCATTCTCTTGATTAGTACACTTTAAATTAGGAGTACGAAAATGTTAGGCAACAATGTATGAAAAATGACATGAACTTTATCGGATAACACATTGTATCCTTGTAATCCAATACTCTTAATATAAGAAACTGAATGTATACAAACATGGTACACTTTTCTTATTTAATATTGATCAGCACCGTACCAACATGCCCATAAATGTTAAGGTAAATCTTCCTTAATTGTACTTCTCTGAACTATTATCTCTAAACCGATTCAGATGTTGCATACGAGAATCGGTCGAGTACATCGGGTATCACACTCAGAACAAATTCAAGGGCCTGTAAGTTAAAACTTCAAACTCACGGTGGTTAGCTGTAACATGTCTTAACCGGGACAAGCTCTGGTAGGAGGACTACGTGATTTCCGTTATTATGTCGTGAATAAATTTATAAGCTCGGGTGCCCTCAAGAGTAAAAAGCAATCATGGTTCGGCTTTAATGTGGCCTGAAGGCAAAGAACCTGTAAACGTAGCAAAAGATACTGAAATCAGCTTAAGATATTTCCACTACTTAAAGTTAGCCGTGGGATAACCTAATATACCACTTAAATCTTGGCTTC